TGGGATTGTTACGTCCACCAAGGTCACAACATATTAAAGGACATGGACTTGAAGATAAAGGATCAAACTTTCAATTTATTTGCTTCCTGTAAAAAAAAAAAAAATAGATGAAGATTAACCCCCAATTCCCATGTCCACCGAAAAAGACAAAACCTCAAAGTAACAACTTAAAGATGGACCTGGTGAGCCGCTCAAACAGAAACAAAAGGTACCGCAGCGGGCCAACCCTATACAGGGCTGTCGAAACCACTGCTGGTACCAGACTAAAACTAAAAAACACCCTTTACAAAAGAAAAAGCAAAAACAGGACAACTGGTCCCACCAGGCCAAAAGTACTACAATACATAAAGTTACCAAAAATTACCTCCAGGCTGATGGCTGCAGCCTACAGCTCCTGGTGAGAAAAAACAAGATAAGACATAAAGCCCCCCCAAAAATCCAAGGGCAGCCAGAGAGCAGTCAAACTAAATGAGCCGAAAAGGAGAGAGCTTCTGAGAGGGGAGAAGCTCCCGAAGGCCAGCCTATTTATGTGTGGGTGGAATACACCACAGCTTAAAAACGATTAAAGGTTAATTAGTTAATCCAAAATATGTCCAAAGGACAGATAATAACAATAATGTGCCTCAGGCCCATAACAGGGATGCTAAGGTGTTCCCAGGCCAGAAAGGTTACACAATCCTTCCAGAGCATTCTGTGTCTTCAATGGGGTCTCCTCCTGAATACCCTCCAGAGGGAGGTGCCCAAGATGTTCTTTTTCTTTTCAGAGGAGCAGCGGCTCTAATCTGAGCCGCCTGATGGAGGAAGCTCATTTCAGTTGCTTGTATCTTGTTCTTTTGGTCACATTCCATACCTCATAACCAGAGGAGAGAGTTGGAACGCAGCCGGACTACTAACCCTGAGTTTTACCCTCATTCATGCAGACATCACCTCTCTTTCCATCAGTTATGAACAAGACTCCCATGTACTTGAACTCCTCTGTTTGAGGCAAAGCCTCACCCCCGATCCTGTTCAGAGCATTCTACCTTTTTCCGATTGAGAACCACGTCCTTAGCTCAGAGGAGCTGACTGTGATTCCAGCTGCCTCACACTCAGCTACTACGCTGAAGGTCACAGCTTAAACACGACAAAACCAGATAATCTGAAGGGGAAAAACAACCCTCAAGCTCCAAACTAAGCTCCCTTCGCTCCCCAACTGCTCCTTGAGATCTTGTCCATGATCATCACCAGCCCTATTTTTAAAATCTCATTTACTTATAAATTATGAGATCTTTCAACTGTACAAACCTCATAACTAGAACATGCTTGCAAAAAATATTATGACCACGAGAAAGATATTTTAGTAACGTTAAATCACTTGATGAAAGACAAGATCTCTATAGGCTTGGTGCTTGGTGGTGTTAGCATCAAAGTTTGACATACAGTAGCGTTCTGGTTAAACGGTATTAAAACAAATACACACGTATATAAATCAAAATCTTTGGTTGAAGCCACACATTAAAACAGAAATCATTTAAATCTGTGGGTGTTCTGTATAAAATAAATGAATTATTGCATAAACAAGTTATTAAATAATTAGAAAACTTTGCCACAAATGATTTGGTGGGGCTAAATTTTGAGAAAATGATAATAAAACTAATGTATACTCAATAATTTAACATAACGTAAAACCATAAATTTAATAATCTTGTTAGAAAAGCTCCAGCTCCTCAGCGGTTACAGATAATTTGTGCTTAAGAACAATGGAAGGTGTTGTTTGTGTTACCAAAATACAGCCATCTTGCTTTTTTTATTATTTATTTTTCTAAGAGAACAATACTTTAATTTATAAGGCTTGTTATATTTAATGTTCCTGTAGTAGATACTAGTACAAAAATAAAACGTGTTTTGTGTGATGACCTAAAGGCTAGTTTGGAAAGACTTGAAGCAATTTGTTTCTTTGTTTTTCTTCTTGTTTGGTGAAATTATTGCACAAAACCTCTGTCGTTGCGCCCAGATATATAAAACTGAGGAATTAAACTGTCTGCTAAGTAGACGCTCTACACTTTCTCTATTTATTCACACATGTCCTTATAAAGGGCGACACGGTGGTGCAAGAATGTTGCCAGATTGAATCCTGGCCGGGGGGCTTTCTGGGTTGAGTTTGCATGCTCTCTGTGCATGTGTGTGTTTTCTTATTCGGTTTCCTCCCAACTTAGGCTGATTGGTGACTCCAAATTGTCCCTAGATGTGAATGAGAGAGTGAATGGTTGTCTCATTTTATGTGTCCCTGTGATGGACTGGAGACCTGTCCAGTACTGTATGTCCCCCGCCACTCGCGCAGTGACTGTTGGATATGGGCACCAGGAATGGTCCGGAAAAGGAGAAGCGGGTAAAGATAATGCATGTATGGATGTCGTTATAAAGCGCCACAGGTCCACTCTCGGTGAAGCGTTGTGTGAGACGAGACGTTATCAGGGAATCTGAGACTGGTGTGTAACTCAGCGGGACTGTGTCCTAACCTGAAGTGGGTTTACAGCTGGGACTTCAGCAGCCCTGAGAAATAAACAAGGCAGTAAACATTAAGTACCAGAGGGATGGCCACAAGGAAGAACTCGTTCTTCTCTTCCCTGAGAAGTTTGTCTAACTCTCCACCCTGTCAAACCAGGTGACGTGGAAGAGGAAAGAGATGATTGTCAGACGGGTGTTTACAATTACGTCGCTCGTATGGCTTTTAAAATCTGGAGTAAACCAGGTGTCTTACGGCAGAAGTACCAGTCTAATCGTCCCTACTTCAACTAAATTTATCTAACAAAAATCTATGTTGTCCTCATCTTTAAAGATGAGAATTAGATGAGTAGATAAAAAACAAAAATCACTTTAATGAAGTTAACTGTCTGGCAAAACAAAAATATAAACCATTCTAAAATCTCAAACTCAAGAGTAGAAGGACTGATCGAGCTCCAGGGAGCGACAGACGCCAGTTTAATTAACTGTTATCTGCAATTGCTCCTTAAAATATTTTGCTAAAACCAGATTCAGTCTTTATCACTGATTGGCCAAAATTTGCCACACATTTGCAAACTGCATTTGCAAGAGAGTTTCCAATTTTTTTTTTTTTTTAACATTTGCAAGAATTGTTGAATTCTTTGTTATTGTGTTGTAAGAATTTTGAGAGGTCAAAAAAAAATTTCACGGCAGATTTTCTTTCTAAATTGTTGCAGAGTCGTCACGGCCATCTAAAACTTGTCTCAAATGTTTCTCTATTTAGTTTTTGTCATTCTGGAGGCCTAGGAGTTTTTTTGTTTTTTTTTTGGCTGATACATTGTTTCCCCTAGTTTATTTCCTTGGCAGGGTGCTCATACGTTTGTATTCCGAGCTTTTTGTACCGACAGTTTTCGAGCGGGGAATGGAGCGCTACCTCTGTAGCTTTTTAGCTAGCGCGTCTGTATCGTGCGCTGTTAGCTTAGCGCTACACCAGTGCCGACGGTTGTGGGTGGTGGGGGGTTCGGTAGGGGTGGAAGTAACTAATTAGAAATACTTGCATTACTGCAATTAAGTAGATTTCTTTGAGTACTTGTACTTTTATGAGTATTGCTTTCAAGTGTGTAATTTTACTCATACTAGTACAATTTAGACCATGTAATCTACTTCACTACTTTTAAAATCACAAGTCACTACTGAGTACAGCTGCAATTTGAATTTATATTCAAACCGTTCATCTGCATCTTTGTAGCCAATAAGGCTCTTAGACCGTGAACGTGCCAGTTACCTATGACGTAAGCAAAGACCACTCTGTAAAGTAGTCACTTATGAACTGACGATTTGGAGAAAAAGCCAAAATGGAGACAGAGGACAACACTGTCAACAGAGAAAATGATGAGGGAAAGGCTGAGGACGTGTGCCCATGGCTGTATCTGGAGGAATGTTTCATGTACAGAGGGTGAAAAGGAGACAACGTCCAGATGCAAACTTTGTTTGATCTCTACGGTGATAGCAGCTGTCAAGACTTCAGCATCTAATCTCAAAAAACATATTGCAGTATATGAGGTTTTACAGCTACCTGTATGATATTGCTGTTTTATTGGTTGTATGTGTGGGTTATTAGTTTGGCTAAGTATGCAAAAATCTTAGATATTGTCACTGCCGTCGGTTTGCCTGGTACTTAAAATAAGAGGAGCTTCTGAGTGTCTGAGAAATGTACTTTGAATGTAGTTATTATTTATAGTAAATCAAACTGAATGACTTCTATTGACAACAAAATAAAACATAAATTGTTTAAAAAGTAGTTAATACTCTGACTAGTTTTTGAGGAGTCCTTTGTACTTTTACTTAAGTATTTTTATAACACCAGTACTTTTACCTGTAATTGAGTACAATTTGAGCAGTGTAACAGTACTTGTACTTGAGTAAAATTTTCAGTACTCTTTCCACCTCTGGATTCAGTTGGCAAGGCACTCAGTTCTGTTGAAAGGGTGGGGCACCCTGCTTGTATAATGGTAGGGGAAACACTTATGTGCACAAAGACCTAGCAAATATTGGCCCACATTTCACTGCATTTTTATTATAACGTTATTCAGCACGATTCCAAATGAATTTTTGTGTGATTCCTTGCAATTTTCCAACTGTTTCCCAACATTGGCAGCGAGGTACAGCCTTTAGACACTTAAACGTCATTCTGAGAAAGGTTAACTTTTATATCAGTATAAAATGCACAAGTGGAAATAAAAGCTTAAAAGACCAAGCCTGTACTTTCTTTTTGATGGGGACAGTAAATATCATTTACACCCCAATAAATTTGTAATAGTTGTCAGTTTTCAAATGCCACAGTAAGCCAGTTTGTTGGCGCTAAATGTGCGTCTGTGAGGCCAGTGACATTTAATACAAGTCATATTTGGTGTGAAGTGTGTCGACTCATTAAAGAGAATAATGAAAAGATGGTGCCAAAGGTTAAAGCAGAGAAGAGTCACAGTTAATGGCACGACAGAGCTGCACCGGCTCCATCTGAAACATCTGCCAAACAGTCGCCACTTGGACGAGTCAACGGCACCATGTCAGGGATTATGAAAAGTGACCGACGAACATATCAGTGTCAGATTTCAATCCTGCACATAATACAAGCTGATGAATAAACCCATTAAAAGTTTCAGCAGGGCCCGGCTGATAATAGAAAGGTGCATTAGCACACGTCACCGATTTCATAAAGAAAATAGCTTGTGACAAAAGAAACAAAAACGTTGTGTCTGGGCTGCATGATGAAGCTCCATCTGTCCGTACAATAAAACTCTGACATTTTATCATCGTTGACACTGATGAATAGCTTTGACTTAATTCACTGCAAGAAATCACCACCTTGTCAAACAAACTTTGACTATTATTGAACCACAGTAGGTTTTAGGTTTAATCACTTTGTGCTGATTTGCAAGTCATGTTTTTTCTGTTTATTTCAAGAAAAAGTCCATGATAATACAGTCCAGCCTAAATATTTCTTAGATTTGCCCATTTTTCAAAATAAATCACTGAGCAACACAATAGAAAAGTTCTAGATGAGATCTTTTTGCACAAAGTTATGATTACTCACTAGTTTATTGCGTAAGATATTGTGATTGATATAAGCTGTGACAGGGAGCCATGCAAACATTGACTCACGTTTTTTTCTCCCACAATCAGCAAATCTGCATATTATGAAACACAATCAGAGACTGTGCGTGTTTGTGTGTTCTTGTGTGACTGAAGTGAAGTAAAAAGTGCATCAATTATAGAGAGATGAGTGTTTTCCTTCAGGGGGATGCACTAGAAATAGTTTGTAGTGATGCTAAAACCTCTGGATCACGTCAAAATGAAATTATGATGGAGAGAAATGTACACAAAGGAGACATTTGTGTTTTAAAGTTTGACAAATTTTAACAATCTGATAATTTTGGCATTATTTGTGGCTTATGGTTTGCAGATGCTCTTTGATGAGTGCTTGGAGTGAAAATGAAAACATTTGCAAGGCAAAAGCTGTTCAACTGTTATCAGTCATGACAGACTAACTCTTATAATGTCAAAGATGAAAACAGGCTTGATGACATGAATTTCCTCAGGGGGTTTCACTGCAAATTCTGTAAAAACATGCACACAATAACTTATATTAATTATTCAACAACCAATTTAGTTATCAAACGTATGTGCAGACAAATGTTTTTCCACTATGTCTTGTACACACACTGTCACAATTGGGCTGGTGCTGGTGAACCCAGTGGTGCAGGCAGGCAGGCAAGGACTCAAGTAAATATAAAATAAGGAATTTATTTTACAAAACAAAAGAGCTGACGGGGCAACAAACTTACATAAACCAGGAGATGAACACGAGGAGCAGAACAGGCATCACAAAGGACAGGGCATCACCAGTGGACAGATAATAATGCCAGGACAAGGACCAATACAGAGACAAAGACTTATATACAGGAAATGCGAATTAGATCAAGTGATGACACCTGTGAGTAATCACAGATGCCAGAGGAGAAAGAGGATGCAAGACATGAGCATGACACAAGATGGGGCTAGATACTAGAGAAACCCATACCTTTTCAAGAGAAACACAGGATCGGGGGAGCACAAACATAAACACGACACCAGGGACAAAACCAGAACTCCTACACACACAACAGTGGCAAAATGTTTCTTTAATTTTAATTTTGTTATGAAAAATGTAAATATTTCAACAGGATGATGTATGGGGGCCGAGATGGAGTAGAGGTAGGGCAGCTGACACGGGCCCCAGCCATTTCCACATGTCGTGGTGTCTCTGAGCAAGACACCCAATTGCTCCCTGGGTGCTCACATAGCTGCTCACTGCTCCACCTGAGTGTCTCCCAGGTGCGATGGGTTAAATGAAGAGAACCAATTTCACCATTGTATAGAAACATTGATGACAACACATAGGACTTTACTTTATGTAGTGAAGGAGAAAAAGCAGCACCAGGACATCTTTAAAGATAAGAAGCTGTGGCTCTTGAAAAGACCAACAGTTAAACAGACTCATCTTCCTTCCTACAGGACAAATGTCCAAAGCAGATATCAATCAGCAATAGCATTCACCACTGGCCTTATTATCTAAAGCCTCTGGTTCCATTGTGTTCTGTATGAATGAGTGAGTAAAACAATGACCCCGCCTTCCATCTCTAATCCACTAATTGACCGGAACATAGGCCCCAAGGCCGGTTCTTGAGACGACGTCGCCTGCGTTTCCTTTGATACTCACACCTGATTAGGCATGCGTGGGCTCTTTACCGTGAATGGCGTGTGCAACACTGAGCAGGGTCACTCTGAGCTCATCTTGACATTTGCGTGTCTTTTCAATAACACGGATGACACGTTTAATCGAGCGAGTCGCCCCAAACTAGATCATTATTTTCTGCTCGTTCCCGTTTAAAAACAAATGGAAAGCGCTGAGCGTTTGGAAATGCAAATGCAAGTGGTTGAGCTTAAACTACACTGAATGCACAAACACCAGTTGCATTAATGAGGAAAATCCAAATGGAAACAAATTGCACCAGCATCAGACTAGTATCTGGCATGCAGCTCTAAGCACAGGTTGCTCCTTTATGTCCCTGAAGCGGTGCAGACAGTATTTTGTATTCTGTTTGCAAAAACCACAGCTTCCAGTGTCTACTACTGAACGTGTAAAACCCAACCTGGAACAGGTTGTGATGCCCCCGAGTGTGTCTGTGTTATACATGCTGATTATCCCACTGCTGATGTAGTCTTTGTTCCTTTTTCATGCAGTTAAATGTAACTTTCACTTTCTCTTTCCCAGGTCTTGTCCCCACATGAAAGCATTAGCCTCAGTGTTCACAGTGTTCCACTGCACTGACATTATTCAGAGCCTAATGAGGCGATATGCATGCCGCACGTGTCATCTGTGAGATTTACAGCAGAGAGCTCTGATACAAGGGCATCGCCGAGACACCTTGGTGCAACAGTTTAGACGCTCTCAGACATGACAAGCACATGAATGCTCCTTTATGAGCTTTTTCTTTTCCTTCTGTGGGGACAGTTAGTGAAGCGAGTTATTAGACCACTCAGCTGGGCTCCTTTGGAAGCTCCACTGACTGACATGCAGCCTGTGGCTGAGTTAGATTTATATTAATGTAACTAAAATCAGCCAGCCAGGATCAGTTTTGTCAGGTCAGGGACAAGATGAAAGCCACACTCTCTAAAAATAAAGCTACTTACGGTTTATAATCCTCTCTTTTAAGATAAAGCTTGTGCTTTTTTATTTGATAAATTGACTTATTGAAGTTGTAGAAGTGAACAATTGCAGAGGCAATGGAAACATTGACAGAGTAGGCCTGGGACGGTTTTAAGGTATGCCATGATGTTTAAAGCTCAGTGTCAAAACTACTACATTTTATCATACCGTGCCTATGATTGAAATAAAATGAGAGCAAAGGCAGGACATCTTTATTTCCCTTCTCCAATGATACTGTTACTCTGAGCAGTCTCACCTTTTTACAGTTACTAATGCTCATCAGTGTTGCCAGATCTCGCGATAGAACCAAGCAACCAGCTCTATGAAAACAAGCCCAAACTGGCAACCCACCACATTGTGTAAAACAGAGGCCATTTTTAAACAGTATAAACATACTGGTACATTTATTATGGCATTACACAAAAACAACAGCAAAATTATGCTAAACACTTTGAATAATATACTTTTAAGCTCTGATTAAAAAATACATTTCGCCTATGTAACAAATATGTAAATCATATTTTTTCTACGTATTTTTAAAAACAAAACATCCTGACATCTGCATGTGAGTGGAGCCCCCCTAGTGGTCAGCCACAGTATGAGCGTTTGTTTGAGTGGCATGCTGCCTTGCCAACTTGGGCGTGAGCAGCGATAAACAGGAAACGGGGGCGTGGAAGGGACACACTACCTACTACCTCTCGTCTTTTGCTTTATTGTGCGGAGCTGGGAGATAATCAACTAGTTAACTCGGAAAGAAAGTCCAGCCCAAATAAACAACTTCACGTTCAAAACAAGCCCCAAAAAAACGCAACGCACAAGATTTACAAGCGACTTCAGAAAAAAAACAAGCCCAAAGTCACTTATAATGAGCGGACTTGGCAACACTGATGCTCATGCTCACACTCAGTATTTTGTGATGCATTGTGGGCTAGTTATACTGGTAGTCACGCCTACTTCCAGCTGTGCTCTCTGCTCATTCTGGCATCCAGCAACATTGCATGTCGAGGACATTTCACAATAACATCATAAGATACCAGTAAAACACAATTTTTAATATGTTTGTACATGAAAGTCACAAAAAAAGCAGATGTACAGGACCAAAAGACTAGAGTTGAACACAGAGCTTGAATGGTGATGGATTTGCTTTGCCACATGCTAAATTTATGCATGCATATCAGCAAGTGTATAAAGGTCAGTTCAGCTGTGTACAGTGTCTGAGAGGGGAGTTCCCCTAAACATATAGACTTAATAAAAAAGGTATTGTGGATTGGCTGTATATCTTATCCGGAAGATTACCTAATCAGTCTTAGGTTGTCTACTAAAAGGAGCAATAAACATTTCTCTTTTCCAGGTAATGCAGTTTTGAAACAAACATTTGCACCATAGTACAAGAGTTACCAGGTTAAAGTATGAACAGCCTACTGCTGGCTTGCCTTGGTTTAAGGTAGATGACATAACAGTCGTCCAATCATAAAACACTCAGTAACAGTGTCATTAAACAAGCTGCTCATGGTGATATATGTCCACATTTTCTTTTACAATTTGTTTGAAAATTTGTTGCTGCTGATAACTGGAATTTCCCATCCGTGGGACAAAGGCTGTTTCTATTATATTCTATTCTATTCTATTCTATTCTAAAAATCCTTGTTTTAAAACAGCCTTCTGAATCTTTGGTGTTAAATTTAAAAATTAATCTCAATGCTCAAATATTATTAGGCAATATGCAATATTTTGGCAGCAATGGTAATTGTATCAGCATTTGTATTTTTAAATACAAGTAAAAAGTGTGTTTTTATATCAGGAAACCATGGTATTTT